GCATCTGGGGGGGGATCAGGAAATATTTTGCAGCCTCTTCAGAGACTCTGCTTTCGGAGCCATTCAATCCATTGTGTACAATTTTTTTTTCCCTTCTTTTTTTTTTTTTTTTTTCCCGAGGAAAAAGGAGGGGTGAAGAAGGAACAAAAGGAAGCGAGAAAGAACTTGGGCCGGCAAAAAGAGACGAGGAGGAAGGGAAAATGGAAAGGGACAAAGAAAGGGAGGGAAAAGGGGAACTTTATTCGCGGGTGAAGAAGGTTGGAAACGCGGGCGGGAGTGGGAGCTGGAGCTGCTGGAAGGGGTTTTTTTTTTCGCTTGGCTTCTGGAGAGAGACGGAGGCAGCACCGCCCTTGCCCGCTCCTCCAGAGCAGGGCTGGAGGTGTGCGCGGGGCGGGGGGGGGAGGGAAAGGAGAGGAGAAAACGCCGATTTCTTCTTTAATCCGACCTTGACAGTGTTGATTGAACCGCGGGACAACGCCGAGGGGTTTGGGGTGGGGTTTTTTTTTCCCCCGCGGTTCTCGGGGCGAGGAAGGGTTGGGAGGGGGGAAGGGATGTCCCCCCTTCACCCCCGGGGGGTGCGGGGAGCTCCGGACCCCTCAGCCTTGGGGTGCCCCGCTCCGGAGGGAGCTGCCAGAGGGGCCGGGGCCTGGAGCTGCGGTGGGGAAAAGGAGAAATCTTCCCTATCCCCCACCCCTAGATGCCGTGGACCTTCAGATCGCCCTTGCCTGGCCACCGCTTTCTGCGAAAAAAAATGAGAATTAAAGAGCGAGAAAATACTCCAGAAAGCAGCGTCAGGCTGCCCAATAGTGGGTTTTTTGTCTTTTATTTTCCTCCCTCTTCTGTCTTTTTTCCCCCCTCTTCTTATTTTTCCTTTTTTCTTCGTATTTTTTTTCTTTTTATTAGCGTTATTTTTTTTTTTTTGTTGTCTCCTCTCCTTCCAATCAGGGGAGAATTTCTCAAAGCGAAAGCAAAAGACTTGGAAGTGCAGGGAAAGAGGTTGGACAGGGAAGGGAGGCAGCTCGGACTGAGCACACAGAGCACTTGCAGGGACAAGGGCGACCATGGGCAGCGTTTCGCTCCGAAAAAGGTGTCAGAAGTCAACCAGGCAGGACAGTGCTCAGACAAAGGCTTTATTTTCTGTAACCTCCTAATTTACCACCCTGATTTCTTCCTTTTCTTTGCCTTTTTTTTTTTAATTTTTAATTTATTTTTTTTAGTATATTTTTTATGATTATTATTTATTGTGACAATTCTTTTTTTTTTTTTTTTCTCTTCGTCGGGAAATAATAAATCTAAATACTCCTCCAGCTCGTGGGCTACCAGGGTTAGTCTCGCTCGGTGCAGTTAAGTTTCTTTTCCCCCCTCCCTGCCTTTCCCCCGGCACATTCAAAAGGGGAGGTGAGAGGAAACGCTCTGAGTCTGCCCGGGAGGGATGCGAGAGTTTCACCAGCGTTTCCGAAGAGGTAAATCTCCCGTTAAACGAGTCCCGAAGCTGCCGTGGAGAGGGCGCAGAAAAGCTGCGAGACAACCTTGTAGCTGCCGAATTCAATAGCGAGGCGTGTTCCACAATTCCAGTCGGGATATCGGCGCGGAGACGCCGCGACAGAAAAGAAGAATATTTTCCAGGATATCGCTCTCTTTGAGAGGGCTTGCTCCACATAACTTTGCCTTCATCCATGGGGATGGTTTCACGTCGAGATAAGCGTGAAAGGACAATATTTTATGGGGGAGGGGGGAAAGAGGGGGTGTTTCCACATCGCGTTAAATTTTATGGGGGTTCACGCCGCCTCACCGGGGGGGGGGAATCCTGCAGCGAAACGCGGGGGGAAAACGTTGTCTTTGAGCCGCGTCTCGAGCCTCAAAACCCGTGGCTTTGGTCTCAACCCGTGGCTTGAAGTCTTGAGCCGCGTCTTTCCTGGGGGCTTTAAGGTGAAGTGGCTCCATCTCCGCTTTTGTGCTGCTCAATTCGCAGCCGCCCCTGAGTAAAGGGGGTTAGTTCTGATTTTTTTTTTTGATTTCCCATCCCACGATAGCACCGGGGGGGAGGTTGTGGATAATTCCGTGTGCTGCAGGTTTCCCTGCAAATGAAAGAAATTCTTGGCCAGATAACGTTTTGCCTTTGTGTGACACCAAACACACCCCATCCACGACTAATTTGGTGACCTTGCCTGCCCGCCTTAAGGTTACAAAAAAAAAAAAAAAACAAAACTGCCGCTACTTTATTAGGGCTGCGTGGCTTCCATAATTTCTGCCCGTCCTGCGGTTCGTCTGTGGTGCATCCTGACATTATTGCGACATTTTTCTGGTTTAACCTCCCCACTGCTCGCCAGTGCTTCTCTCCCTCTGCGTGCTCAGCCCTTCCTTTCTCCCTCTCTCTCTTTCTCTCTCCTTCTCTGCCTCTTTTTTTCTTTCTCCTCTTTCTGCTGGTCCAGACAACCCCTGCTTTTGTGAGGATTCCCTTTAAAATATCCCCCCAAAGTGGAAAAGCCAGGCAGCTTTTTTTTCCCCCCTCTCCACACGTCACAGCCCACTCGATCAGCAGCCCCGCAGAGCGAGTGTTTTTAAAATGGGAATAGATAAAAGAATGATGAGTGTATATATAGATATTAATATTATATATTTATTTCCCCCCCCCCTCGCGAACATAAAAATAACCGTCATTGGAGACCGGTGATTGACAGATAAATTGGTCTCGATAAAGGCCAAAGAAGACATCCTGCTCCTGCAGGAATATTTCCCTTTAAGGGCTCACATAAAGCAGGGGACTTAAAACGGAGTGAGGAATAAATTCTGAAGTGGTGGTGGTGGTGGGGCGAGGGGGGAAGAGCGAGTCGATGTCTTTTCGAATTTGGAAAATCCGGAGTCCCTTGACAAACACGTCTCGTCATATTTTTATTTTAAAGCCCTTGCCTGTTGGTGTTTTTTTTTTTTTTTTCCGAGAGGGAAATCCTGCTTCTCCCAGCAGCGAGGGCAACCCTGAGCATCCATTTCTTTTACTTGCTCGAGCTCTGCGGGTTGAGGGGCAGATTTTACCCCTGCTCAGCTGAGGGGGTGAGTTTGGAGGGGCTGGAGAAGGGAATGGGGGGGGATGTGTGTGTGTTGTGTTCTCCTGGCAGCACCACCCTTTTATTTTTACCCTGTTTTTCCTCCAATCTACCTCAATCCCTTTCCTCCTCTTCCTGCTCGCGTTTCTCGTGCAACTTCAAAAAAAAAAAAAAATAAACCACACAAAACCCACCGAAACAACACAACAAACCCCAAAGAAACGGATGAGAATTGCAAAGGTTTGTGCCGTGTCGGTCCCTGGGACCTGTCCGGGCTGTGCAGGGTGACTGTCACTGGTGACACCGCATCACTGGGGACACCCTGCCCACCCCCTGCCCACCCTCAGGAGCTCCCATCGCCTTCGGAGCCCTCACTTTTGCCTCCTTCTTTCCGATTTTTTGACCATTTCCCTGCACGTCCTCTCAGCTTTAAGGAACCCGAGGTGATGGAGAGCCCAGAGAAGCCTTGGAGAGCCCAGGGAAGCCTATTTTTTGGGGGGGGAAGAAGTGGTTCTGCTTCTAAATAAATATATAAATAAATAAATAAATAATCGTGAGAGGTTATTTTTCTGTTAGAGATTTTAATTTATTTTTTTTTCCCGCCCAAGAAATCGCCTAAGTCCCTTCTTTGGAGACTCCAATGGGCGTGAGCTATTTACCTACCTGTCTTTCCTTACAAAGGAAAGGTTATTCTCTCAAAATGCAGGCAGGCTACCACCGATTTTTTTTTTTAACGCTCCCAACTTCTTCCCTCGATTTGGTGGGGGGGAAAAAAAAAAAAAAAAAAAAGAGAGAGAGAGAGAAAGAAAAGTTTCCAGGCGTTACTCAAAAAATAATAATAAAAAAGAAAAATAGGGAAAAAAAAAAGAAAGATCATGTGCCCAACACACATTGTTGCTTCCTCCTGATGATACCAAAAAGCCTCTCTCATCCCCCTCAGCTCGAGAGCTGAAACCCAGTCCTACGGTTTTATTTAATGAACGACACATTTATGAACAATCAAATGATCCTCGTAAAAATTTTATTGAAGGACATAAAAACATCCACGACTACCCGGCGGATAACGCAGCCTTTCAGTGCAAAAGCTCAGGCTTTTTTCTTTTTTTTTCCCTTTTTTTTTTTTTTTTTTTGGGGGGGTGTATTATTATCCTTCCCCCTCCTCTTTTTAAAGACGCTCCTCATCTTATAGATAGATAAAGAGATATTTATATATTTTTCCCCCTTCTTCCTAAAGATACTTCTTTCTTAAAAGCAGGACGAGATGCGCCTGTGCCCCACAGTCCTCTGAGCTGCTGAGCAGCCTGACGAGGAGACAGCGCTGCAAAAGATGACAAAAGCCCCTTTGCTTTTAGGCTCCGAGCTTCTTCTCCCCCCACCCTCCCTCCGCTCTCCCCTCCCCTCCCCAGCTCCTTCCTCCGGGTGGGGATCCCACCTCCACCGCACTTCTCCCCTCTCCCCTTCTCACCGATATTCAATTTAATGTATCCATTAGAGGCTGGGAGCTGCAGGAGGAAAGGACAGAGATAAATTACGTCAAGAAATAGTTCCTGGGCTACCTTCCACAATTACCTTCCACCTTCTCTTAGCATCAGCGTAAATGTCCCCCCTCCCAGCCCGCGGGCTGAGCATCCCCCCGGCCGCGGAGCAGCCGAGCATCCCTCCTCCTCCTCCCCATCTCCGCCCCGTTTTCCAGCGGTTTTAGGGAAAAGCCGGGTGGCGTTATTAGATTAAGTGGAGAAGGAGGAAAAAAAAAAAAAAAAAAAAAAAAGGATAGGGGAAGGGGAAGAAAAAAAAAAAAAAAAAAAAAAAAAGAAGCCCTGCGGATTGATCCAGGCGATATTTTTGGGTAAATACAATCACGTGAGGGCGGCAGCCAATGGAACAGTGGGAAAGGCTGAAAAAATAATTACCTGCCCTGATTGTTCTATGAGCAGATAAAAAGTACACATACAGTTCATACAATAATCTTATGAATGTAAAAGAGGGGGGAACCATGTCGGCTTCTGGCCCCATAAGCAACTACTATGTTGACTCCCTGATAAGCCACGAGAACGAAGAGCTCTTGGCCTCCAGGTTCCCCGGCTCCGCCGCCCACCCGGCTGCCGCCCGACCGTCAGGATTAGTCCCGGACTGTGCCGACTTTCCGTCCTGCAGTTTCGCCCCCAAGCCGGCCGTTTTCACCACCTCCTGGGCTCCCGTGCACTCCCAGTCCTCCGTGGGCTACCACCCCTACGCTCCCCAGGCGCCCGTGGGGGCCGAGCCCAGGTACATGCGGACTTGGCTGGAGCCCCTGGCCGGGGCCGTCTCCTTCCCGGCCTTCGCCCCCGGGGCTCGCCCCTACGGCCTCAAACCCGACGCCTTCGGCGGCCGACGGGCCGATTGCGGCCCCGCCGACGGCCGCGGCTACGCGGACTACATGTACGGGGCTCCCGGGGAGCTGAGAGACAGAGCCGCGCAGACAATTCCTTCCCCGGAGTCCGAAGCCATCGCTTCCAGCAAACACAAAGAAGAAAAGCACGAATTAGACCCTAGTAAGTCGAAGTCATTCTTGTTTACGACCGGGGAAGGCATTACGGCTTCCAGGACCCTACTCAATAAAATGAAATTACCTTAGAGAGAGAGGGAGAGAGCCCGACCCTAAAACTCCAGATATGCAGGAAGATCTTGGGGTTTGAGCGAGTCCGACTAGCAGAGCCGGAGAGAGAATCTCTGGACTTTGTTTCGGGCTCTTTAGGATTTTTTTCCTTTATTTTCCCTTTTTATTATTATTATTTATTTATCCTCCCTTCTTTTTTTTTTTTTAATTTTCTCTTTTTTTTTCTTTTTTTTTTTGTTCTTTCCAGTGGGGGGGCTGTTGGCTGCTTTGATCAAATATTCATCACCTTCCACCGGGGGGAATTAAAAAAAAAACACACCCCAACAACTAATAGAGAAAGAGAGTGCGTGTGTGAGAGGGAGAGAGAGGGGGGTAGGCAAGAGGGAGAAACCCCTTTGCTTTAAAATATTTCCACTTTCAAAGGACAAGGAAGAGTTGTAGATGGCTGGAAGTGAACGTACTGATGTGGGGTGGTTTGTTTTGTGGGGTTTTTTTTTTAGGGAGGGGAAGGAAATATCTCTGGATAAACGCAGGGGTGTCTCTTTTATCTATTTTAAAAATCAATAAAAGCTCCACCGGCGCAATTATTCATAAAATGCTCCTTACACGTGGGAATAAAGGAGAAGGTGGGTGCCCTGGGCGGGGGGCCGGGGGTGCAGGGGAGTAGGAAGGAGGAAAATTGGAATTGTAAAGGCATAAAACTGAGTGTGTGGAGGCAGCTGAGGGCAGAAGGCGGCGAGCGCAGGACATTGGACCATACACTTGAAGAAACATCTCCTGCAGCCCAAGTGAGAGAGGGAAGGGGGGAGAACTTAAAAAAAAAAAGAAAGAAAACCACCCAAAGAAACAAAAAAAAACCACCCCAAAATACCCAACCCGGCCATCAGGGAAACCTCGTAGGGAAAGGAATCAGGTAACCACCATCACCACCACCATCACCCTCCCCATCACCCTCAGCACCCCAACCCCGCAGAAGGGACCAATCCTGGCTGGGGGTGGCTGCGGGAAGGGGGTCCAAAACCGCAGCCAAACCACCCCCTTTTTCCCTCCTCAGGAAAGAGGAGAGAGGAGCTGAGCATCCACCCGGGGATGCAGGGACAGGGGGAAGATGCTGCGGGAGCGCGTCCCGCACACCCCGCCTGGCTCTGCCGGGACCCCCCCGCACATCCCCGGCCTAAGATGCGGGTGATTTCCGAGCCCTAAAGCTGCGGGACAGCCCCGGGAGCATCTTTGGTGCCTCGATATCTCGCTCTCGGTCTCCGCAGAGGCGCTGCCTCCTCTATTTAATGACAGGCGGGTTGGTGCCAGGCACCCTCGTGGTAAAAATAAGTCGAGGAATCGGGGGGTGAAAATCTCCTTTCAGCTGCCTGGAAGGGGGTTAAGGGGGATAAAACTGCTCCCCCTGACCCAGCGGGGCCGCGGTAGGAAAGGGAAAGGTCCTTTAGGGCAAGGGGGAAAAGAAAAAAATAAAACACCCCCCAAAAAATACAACCCACAACACCCCAATTTCTTGGAACCAGTGGGACGTCTCGCGTGTCATCCTTAAGATATTAAAAAAACAAACGCCGCTTTCCAGGTCTGGGAAGGCTTCTAGGGAAAAGTATTGGAGAGCTGAGGTTGTAAAAAAAGAGTTTATGGGCCTATGAAATGGTGGGAATTTTGACTTTTTATGACTATGTTCTTAGATTACTTGCTAGTGGCAGTCATGTGGATAATTATTATTTTAAACCCATTGCTAGAGTTTTATTTACTGAAACTTTTATGTGAGAACAGCGGCAAAAGAGAGGGGGAAAAAAAAAAAAAAAAAAGGAAATGACCCCTCCAAAATAAACAGATTAAACTCTTCTGAAGGTCACTTAAAATATTTAGGTAAGATCTGCTAATTAAACAGGTTTCTGTCCATAGATACACCAGGGCGTGGAGGGGGAGGGAGGGAAGAAAGGCCAGCTGTATACATTGATTTTTTTATTTTTTTTTTTACTAACACCCCCCCTAGAAAAAAAAATATATAAAAAATATCTTCTTTCTCAGACAATCCCGTCGCAAATTGGATTCATGCGCGCTCCACGAGGAAGAAAAGATGTCCTTACACAAAGTATCAGACCCTGGAACTGGAAAAAGAGTTTTTATTCAATATGTACCTTACACGGGACCGGAGGTACGAAGTAGCCAGAGTCCTTAATCTCACTGAACGCCAAGTCAAAATCTGGTTTCAGAACAGGCGAATGAAAATGAAGAAAATGAATAAAGAAAAAACCGATAAAGAACAGCAATAAAGTTGGCAAAGTCCAGTCGTTGAGAAGCGAGGGTGGAGAGAAAAAAAAAAAAAGAAAAAAAGAAAAAAGAAAAAAAAAAGGAAAAAAAAAGAGGAAAAAAAAAAAGAGGCTGTTTTTGGGGGTTGAAATGTTTCTGACTTTGAATGTGCGGATGAATGTTTAGCATTAGAGGCAAACACAGCAAGCGTTTGGGGACACGAGTCTTTTCTAAAATGCAACTAAATAAAAGAAAGATGTTCGGGGGGTTTGTTTTCTCTTCCTTTCTTCTGCCTGGGTTTTTGTCCTCGGAAAACAAACACGAGAAGTACTTGAATTTTTTTTAATTATTATTATTATTAGTATTTTATTTCATAAATTAAACTTATCCAGTATTTTTAATTTTTTTTTTTTTTGGAATCCCGCGAGCTCGTGAGCGAATATTTTCTACAAAAGAGAGAAAAAAAAAAGACAAAAAAAGGAGAAAATAATAAGAAAAAAAAAAAAAAGGACTGAAGGGATTATGGCTCGATGATGTTCTGTCATGGTGTTGAACGTTTCTGCTGTACTTATTTGTGTATTTTATTCTCGTCTCAGAACCGTTCTGTAATATTGTTATGTTCGCTATTGTAGAGCAGCTCTATGTAAATATATAAAAAAAACCAACACAACAACGGGGAAACAACAAAAAAAAAAAGAAAAAAAAAGGACAAAAATCATCATGTAGATGTCTTTTTTTTTTCTTTAAGCCTTTTACAGAGGAGCAGCCCCCGGGGCTTGGCCCGCCGGTGCCGGTGCCGGTGCCTCGCCGGGGGGACGGAGCATCCCCCGCCGCCGGAGGAGAGCGGAGATTTCTGCTTTTCCTTCGCCAGCACTTTTTTTTCCTCCCCCCCCCCGCCCCTTCCACCATCCCATTCCAAAGTACCGTAATAAAAAAGAAAAAAAAAAAAAAAAAAAAGGCGCTGAGGTAAGGGTTATGCGTGCCATCAATTTTTTTAGATTGGGATAATTAATTGTACTAATTTACGACCGCAGGCAATCGAAGGATATGTAAAGGGGAAAAAAAAAAAAAAAAAAAAAGGCTAAATATGGATGCTGGGGGAGAAGAGAGAGAGAGGAGATGGTAAAAAAAAAGGCAGCTTCTCCTCTTGCCTTATCGAGGAGGGGGGGGTTCTCCAAACCTTGTTGGAAGCGTGGAGAAGGGGGGTAAAAAAACCCCCCCAGAAATAGAAATGTCTGTGTTGGGGAAAGGGACGCGGGGAGAGCGAGGAAGGACGAAGAAAGAAAGACGCGGTGGCGAATTTTGAGGGCTGAAAGGCCGCAAAAATTAAAGCAGACACGCAAATCCCCCCCCTCCACCCCCTCCCCTTCCTTCGCTTTGCACGGGGGAGATTATAGAATATAAAAAAATGGGAGGGGGGAGAGGGTTGATGGCTGAGAAAAGGTCAAACCAACCCCTCCAACCTCCCCGGTTCTGCCAAAGGTTGGGGCTGCAGAGGCGAGAAAATCCCCTGCCCAAAGCTCCTGGAGCCGGGACCATCCCCGGCCCCTTCCCTGGGCGCTTCCCAGGCTGCTGAAGGGGAAAACAAGGGGCAGGAGATTGTATAAAAAACGAGCAGCGAGGGATGTTTAATCATAAAAACTTGTTAGAGGTCCCCTTTCTTTAATGAAATGAGTGGGGCAGCGTTTTAATCTTTCTAATCAGAACCAGACCGGGCGGGTGAAAATGCGTTTTTGTCGCCCTCGTCCCGGTTCCTCCGAAATAAAAAAAAAAAATAAAAAAAAAAAAATCTGGAAGCGATTTACTTCTGCTGATCTCGTAAAATATCGCTCTTTAATATTTCTTGCTGCGGCGTTTGGAGGTTTCTTCTCCTTCCCCCTCCCTTGATTTGCGTCCTCGCTCTCGCAGAAGGGGGGGATCTTTTATTTTTTGTCACCGGAGGGGGACAAGGAGCACCCGCGGTCTATCAGCGGACACATCCCCGGAGCAGGGGTGGTGAAAACCAGAAATAAACCAAACCAAAACAAAAAAAAAAAGCCCTTTTACAATCCCAGTTTTGTGTTAGGAGGAAAAAAAAACCAACAACAAACCCAACCTTAACGAGCGCAATGAAATGGTCAGGTTAGAAAACATTTTAGAGGAGAGGAAGATTTATGGACAGGAAAAAAAAAAAAAAAGAAGAAAAATAAAAAATAAAGGAGAAGGGGGAAGCCTTTCCACGTATGTCATGCCGATTTATATATTTTTAATTATTATTATTGCTGTTATTGTTATTATTTTCTTTCCCTGCTGTCTCTTTCTCTGCCTTCCTTCATCCTGCCTCAAATAAAGAATCAAATCCTGAGTTGGGCGGGGGTGGGGTGGTCTGGGCAGCACGTCCTCTTGGCGAGAGGGGCGAAATCACCCCAGGTTTTATCATCATTAATTAAGAGAGAGACAGAGAGAATGAGGGGTGGGGGGGTGGAAATAATCCCCGCCGTAATTTGGACAGGACTCGGGGAGGCACTTTCGGACCCGTCTCTCTGGAGGGGCTTGTCAGGAGCGTTTAGCGATGCTGAAAAGACGTGATGTATGGAAGTTCATTTCGTGTGTGTCCCCCCCCCACCTCTTTCATTCAGGATCTCATTTCCAGTTGCGATCCCTCCCCCCAGTTCCCCCTCCTTCCTCTCCCTCCCTGCCGCAGTCACCCCTCCGGCCAGACCCCCCGTTCGGAGCCGGCGGGCAGCGCAGGAGATGCCCTTTGTCTCCTCCACCGGAGCTTTTCTTTTGTTGCCGCTGGCTCGGGTTGGGTTAAAATCCTGCCGCAGTTTTAGTTCATGTGCAAGGCCCCCGGTACCCTCAAACCACCCCCTCCCCTCTTTTTCACATCCCCCGACACCCCCGCCCTCTCCCACTCCCCCCTCGTCCCCGGTGAAGGGTTACACGAGTTATAAAATGCCATTTGGCCCTGCTGGGAGGCTGCGCTGGTGCGGTTGGGCCGTTTAAAATCGCTCCTCCGCCGGCAGCCGGCGGTGAAAAAGCACCAAAAAAAAAAAAAAAAATTAAAATTTAAAAAAAAAAAAATTTAAAAAAAAAAAATCCACCCCGGCAACGCAACGAAAACACCCCAGCGTGACTCAAAATAAAGAATCATTTCCAAAAAATAAAATAAATATATATATATATATATACACATAAAAGCAAACGCGGCTCCGGCCCCCAGCAGCACGCCCTGTGGCCAGCCTTTTCCCCCGGATTAATGTATCAAAATGCTGCGATTTCGGCATTCTTTGACATATGGCGCGTGTGTGCAGTCGCATACTGATACAGCTATTGTGTGTGTGTGCCGGCGCTTGTGAACATGCACATGTCTCTCTCTCTATTGCCCCGGGGAGAGAGATGCGCTCAGAGCTCCTGAAAACACAAGGGTAAAAAATACAGAAACCAGCAAAAAAATTTATAAATATATATATATATCTAAATACCAAGACACGGTTATATTTTTGGGGTGTTTCTCTTTTTTTTTTTTTTAAATTTATTTTTTGGTGGGCTTGGTTTCAAATCTGCCCCTTTTGTAAAGGACCCCCTCCAGCTGTCCATAGGTACATTTCCGCAGCCAAAAAAATGCCACTTTTACAACTCTGTTTGTCTCCCTGCTATGCGGGGCTGAATAGGGGCGAACAAAACAGGACCCTAGATCTGGCTAGACGTCTGGCTTTAATTGCTTTATGGTTTAAATAAGGTGGGTGCTCTTCTCTTTGAAACCGGATTATTGGAATGTTTTGTCTACAAGCTACAAACAACAGACCCCCCTCGGATGAGGGGAGGGAGGGGAAGGATGGGGAAAAAGGAAAGGGGGGGGGGGCTTGGAAAAAGAGAAAATCAAACCCCAAGTCGAAGCTAAAACTGATAAAAGCGGGAGGTGAAAAGGGGGGGTGGGTGGCGGTGGCACATCTGGTGGGTTTATTCTGTCCTGCGTGCGTGTGCTGAGGGCTTTTTCTGGTTCGGTTTTGGTTTTTTCCTTGTTTTTAGGGGTGAGAAAAAAAGGGGGGGAAAAAGGCTGGAAAAACGGGGGGAAAATTAAAAAAAAAATTAAAAATTTTTTTAAAAAGGAGAGAAAACGAGGCAGGAGAGAGAAAAAATTAAATAAAGGACTTTTTTTAATAATGAAAATATCCTTTAGATAAAAAGGGGGTCGTATAAAGGAGGGGGTGCGGAAGGTTGGGTCGGAGCCCCCACCCACCCACCCCAAAGCCCCTCCGTGGGCGCTGCGCCCCCGCGGCCGCGAGATGGCGCTGTTGGCCCAGGGTTCGCGCGGGGCGCGCGCGGGGCCCTCGAGTGTCCCCCCACCCCCCAACCCACCCACCCAAAAACCCACCCCCACCACGGCACCCTCCACTCCAGCTCGGGGAGCACGAACTGCCCTCCTTCACCCCCATGAAAATTGCTTTTTTTTCCCCCTCCCTGTATTTTCTCCCCCTTCCCCCTATTTTTTTCCCTGTATATTTTTCCCCCCCTCCTGTATTTTTTTTCCTCCTCCCCGTATTTTTTTTCTCCCCTCGCTCTGAGCACGAAAAGGAGTGGAAGGGGGAGATGTGAAAATGCAGAAATCACCCCGTAATGAAGCGGTTGTGGGGTTGCTTTCTCTGCATTTTTGGTTGGGGTTTTTTTTGTTGCTATCGGGGATTTTTTTTCTCCCCCAAGCTTTCCTCTTTATTTACGCCCCTCACGTCTCTCACCAAAGACTCCTCGTTTTGGGGTGGGGAAGGAGGGAATGACACGTTTGGTTGTGGTTTTTTTTTAACAGTGAAGGTCAGGGCAAAGGGGAAGGAGGGCGGGGGGGGGTGGGGGGCACAAAATAACCTACAATGAAACACCTAAAAGTACAATAAACCCCCCCTGAAAAAAGCTGCACATGCACCCACCAGAGACATCACCCCCCTGTACCCAACCCCACATCCCAACCCGGCCAAACCAGGGAAGACAAAGAGCAGCACCTTCCCCAGACACACCAAACGTCAAGATATTTCCCTTAAAAAGAAGCAGGGATTGCTTTATATCTCATTTTCCTTGAAATTCTGGCAAGGGATTGGGGGGGGGGTGGTGTGTCTGGTGGGGTTTTGACACTGCAAACAAACATTTCTGCCCTGCCCGGGGGAGGGTTTGGAAAGACTCGCTCTGCACCTTTGCCCGCTGCATCCAAAGGGATAAACCCTGTTAAAATCGCGGGGGTTCTTCCCAAACCCACCCCCGAACTGGCCAGATCTGACTAAAACTTCATTCTTTATTTATTTATTTATTTTATTATCTCCCCCCCCTTCACTTTGCAGCGGGATTTTAAAAATAGAAATGTTATTGATTAGAGAGGAAAAACGGTCACCTCGACATTCGCTGTTAATTAAGGAGCATCTGTCCCTACTTGCTCTTTCCTTCGTTTTTTTTGGGGGCGGATGTTTTTTATCCTAGGGAAGGTGGAATTTGGGGCCAGGTGGGTGAATTCTGTAAAAAAAAAGCGGTTATTGCGGCATCCTTGAGGTTATTCGTGTATTAAGGTTATTTCTTCACAGTAAAGGTGGTTTGGTGATTAAAAAAAAAATTTGCTTTCACGCTAAGAGGTGGATAAAAATCACTGTTTTCCCTGCATAGTTCATTGTCTGCTACAAGGAGGAATAACCTCCCCTCCTCCCTCCCAGCTCCCATTTCTAAATGGAAAAATACCCCCACGATTTCGGGAAAATCTAATAAAGGTGGGACCGGGGTGGCTACTGGGACTTTTCCTCTTCTTGGGAAGGCGTCTGCAAAAAAAACCCAAAACACCCAAACAAAAACCCAAAATAAATTCGAACCCTCAGTTTCAACCTCACCAGAGAGGTTCGAGCCGCGAAAAACCCGAGAATGTGACCTTTGCTGGGCAGGAGAACAAAAAAAAAGCCTCAAACCAGCTTGGCGAGCGAAGCTAAGGCGGTGTTTTTCTCCCTGCACACCGGTCAGAGTCACCCAGGGCTCTGCTGAAAATAATTAAGCTCCTTTTCCCTTTTTTTCCCCTTTTTTTAATATTTTTTTATTTTCTTTTTGTGGAAGGATTTGAAGGGTTGTGGACTTTGGGAGGGAACACGGGGTGTTTAGTGGGGTCGATGTGGGTTTTTTGCGGCTCTGCAGCGAGCATCTCCCCTCGAAGCGTGTCCTCCTCTCCCTCTCCTCCCCCCCAAAAACTAAATGAACAAGAATCCCGCTGGTTTGGATGTGATTTTCTTGTGTTGTTGTTGTTGGGTTTGGTGTGGTTTTGCTTTTTAACGAGCTCGGTTCCTCCACGCAGTCGTAAAAATGAAGTGTCCGAAGTGAAAGGTTGCAGGGAACGGTCACTTCGAGCCCAAAAAGTGTGTTGTGTTTTGGGGGGGTGGAACAGGGGCACAAATAAGGTTTGCAAGAGGAAAAACCGGGGAGAGGGAGGAAAAAAAATAAATCGCTATTTTGAGGAGCAAAACGACGGGGGATTAAAAGAAAAAAAAAAAAAAAAAAAAAGGTGGATGGTTATTTTTTTTTTTACAGGCACGCACAAAGGGGAGCACAGACTTTCTGGCTCACTTCGCCTCTCCTGCGTCCAATTTTAAGCAATGCTCTACTTTATTCCCTTGGAAAAGGCGCTTCCCTGTTATTTCCAGGCGTGGATTTTTTCAGCGGTCGGTTTGAAAGGAAGCAAGGAGGGAAGGGAAGGGGTGGGGGTGGGTGGGGGAATTAAAATAAAATAAATAAAATAAATAAAGTAAATAACTCCCCGTAATTTTCTGCCTTTATTTTCTCGAAAGAAGGACAGCAAAAAGGAGCAGCCAATCCATACGGAGACGTTTTCCCCTCGCCCCCCGGCTCGCTCCCGTTTTGCTTTTGTTTGCTTGTTTGATCGCGACCTTCCAGCCACCATCGCCGCCGCCACCACCACAACAACACCACCACCACCAAACGCAACCCCCCAAAACAAAAAGGGGGGGAAAAAAAAAGGGCAAAATACAGAAAGAAAACCAGAAGAAATCTGGGCTCAGCCTCTCCAGCCGCAGCAGAACCCCCTCCCCCTTTCTAACCCCCCCATCTCTAGGTGGGATCAAACCCACCCTTGGTAGAGCCCCCCCCTCCAAAGCCCCCAACACAATGACAACAACAACAACAATAACAACAACAACAACAACACCGGGGGCACCCCCGCCTCGCCCCCCTGAAGGGTGTGGGGGGTTCTGAGCGCTCAGAAGATCACATCGGGGTTTTTTTTTTGGGTGGGGGGGCACCAGGGGGTGATGGAGAGGGCAAAGGCTGAGCGGGGGGGTGAGGGGGGCTGCCTTTACCTGTTGAGATTACCTAGGCTGACCTCCCAGCGCATCAGGGAAGAGGCTGCTGCTGGGAAATTAAAAAAAAAAAAAAAAAATTAAAAAAAAAAAAAGAGATTTGGGGGGGTTTAAGGGGGTTTAGGGGGTGGATTTAATGCGCACCTTCACCCTCCTCCACTCGTTAGGTGTGGGGTGTCCCCCCTCCTTCCTCGCGTTACCTCAGGAGGGGGCTGTGCGTGTGCGTGGGGGGTGTGTGTGGTGAGCGTGTCCCACACACCACCTTTCCTCCATCACAAATCCATCCTCCCCACGCGCTCTCCCCCCCATCCCCCCAAAAAAAAAAAAAATAACCACCCCAGCGCCCCCCGCCCCCCTCAACCCGCTGTCATTCGGCTGGAGAGTCGTGGCGGAGGGATGAGAACGTCTCGCGAGTGAGGGAGGTGGGGGGAGAGGAGGGAAAGAGGAAGAGAAAAAAAAAAAAAAAGGGAAAAAAAAAAAAAAAAAGAAGGAGAAGGGAAAAAAAAAAAAAAAAGCCACACCACCGGGATTTTGAGGAATTTGCCTGTGGTGTTAAAGGGAAGGAGCAGAGTTACAGAGAAATTGAGAGAGAGAGAGAGAGAGAGAGCTCTACCTACCGACAGATTACAAGAGAAGTCAAGAGCACCGAGAACCCACCGTACAGGCACACAGAGAGAGGCACCATGAAACGCCTTTGAGATCGCGTTTGGAGAGAGAGAGAGAGGGAGAGAGAGAGAGAGAGGGGGAGAGAAAAAAAAAAAAAAAAGCCACTAAAAAAAAAGAGCAGGACTTGAGACAGTCCAGGGGACAATCTCGCGCCGCTCTAAGAATTAAAAGCGTCTTTTTTTTTTTTTTTTTTTTTTTTTTTTTTTTTTTTTTTTTTTTTTTTTTTTTTTTTTTTTTTTTTTTTTTTTTTTTTTTTTTTGTGCATGCGAGGGGGTCATGAGTTCCTACTTTGTAAATCCTCTCTTTTCCAAGTACAAAGGCGGTGAATCGCTGGAGCCAACTTACTACGACTGCAGATTTCCACAAAGTGTTAGCAGGAGCCATGCTCTGGTGTATGGTCCGGGCACTACTGCTCCCACCTTCCAGCACCCTTCCCACCACGTCCAAGAGTTTTTCCACCACGGAACCTCCAGCATCTCCAACTCTGGATACCAGCAAAACCCATGCGCCTTGGCGTGTCACGGAGACGCTTCTAAATTCTATGGATATGAAGCTCTGCCGAGGCAATCGCTTTATGGTGCTCAGCAAGAGACGACTGTTGTACAATATCCTGACTGTAAATCGTCTTCCAACAGTAACTCTAGCGAGGGACAAGGGCATTTAAATCAAAATTCGTCTCCCAGTCTCATGTTCCCATGGATGAGACCTCACGGTTAGGACCTTTTTTTCCTCCTGCTTGAATGTTTTCCTTTATTTTTTTCCTCTCTCTCTCTCTGTCTCTCTGTCTCTCTGTCTGTCTATCTGCTCTGTCTGTCTGTCTGTCTGTCTATATGTATATGTATGCATATCCAAGCACAAACATGCCTCGCTGTATAAACATGCCCATAACACACTTATGCATACATATATATATCTATATATATCTCTATATATCGACCTAAAAATATAAATATGAGAGGCGTAGCTGGGGAAAAAGAATATGGAAGGAATGAGCAGGTTTGTGCTAATGTTTCTTCTTTTTAAGGGAGACCTTTTTTAAAGCAAACAAGCCAGCAGTTGCTAGAGAGCCAGCAAGGTGATTCCCTGCAAAAGGCTTAAATCACAATAAAAGTAAAAACTTGGGTTCTTTTTTTTTTTTTTTTTTTTTTTTATGGCTTGCCTGGAGGATAGGCAATAAGATACAGCTCCCACGAGGTTGTTTGCATGTTGATAATACACCGCTCTTTAAAATGTCATAGAGCCTTTCATAACCGCTGGGAGACGAAGCCTGAAAGGTGGGAACTTGTCTTGAGTATTGCTAATACTTTACATCTGTTCCTTAAAGCCTAGAGATAAAAGTTTAGACATAAAGGAAACTTAGCTCGGAGCTATGGGGTGGGGTGGAGGAGAACAGGCTGCTGCCCTGGGTTTGAGAGGGAAAAAAAAAAAAAAAAGAAGAAGAAGAAGAAGAGGAAAGGGGGTGGGAAATTCAAAATAATTTGTGCTGAATGGAACTTTGCTCATGTGAAGTCCAGATAATTGCACAGAAAGAGAAATACTTCAAAGTACAAGTTTCCCCCCGCCTCCCTCACCCCCCCCCCATCCCCAACCTAAGGACCAAGGTTGCCCAGAAGCCTTGTTAATTCAAAACATGTGAAGGTTAGTGTGAATTTTAAGGACAATCAGAGCCCCAAAGTTTTCTTTCCTTTCCCCCTTCCCCTCCCCTCTTTTAACCCCCAGCAAAATTTAACAACCAAAACAACAAAAAAAAAAAAGGAGAAATAGAAAGGAGTTGTGGCTGATGGAGAGAGAGGATGTGGCCCAGGGGCTGGGAGAGAGAGAGGGAAACGCAGAGGAAAAAACACGTTATTTATCTAAGCTTTGACCTAGAGGTAGTCTCAAGGATGCAATCATTTCAAACTGGAACTCTCCTTTTTTTAATTCCCTCCCCCCCAAAAAATAGATTGTTTTTCTCATTAGGTGCAGGAGGAAGTGCAGAGGCTCAGCTGCACATACCTCAACCCTCCGTCTTTTTTCTTTCTCCTTTCTTATTCTTTTCCTTTTTTTCTCTTTCTTTTGGCTGTTGGCTGCAAAAAAACCGTCCACCTCGAGTTGTTTTAAAAGACAATCTGTCTGTTTGCACAGGCAAATCTGCCTCTCTTGTCTGAGCGCTGCAGACACGCAGCCCTGACCGAGAGGACGGAGGGTGGTGGTGGTGGAAGGTTTTGTTTTGGTTTGGTTTGTTTTTTTCAGGGAAAATTCAAATCCTCAGGGCGTGAATTTTAGTAAATAGGAAAGCCCCGAGCTTGTGGGGGTTTTTTTTGGGGGAGGGATATCTGGAGAGTTGGGTGTTTTGAGGGGGGAAGGAACAGAGAAAGGAAGAGAGGAGAAAGAGGGAGAGAAAGAAAGAAAGAGGGAGAAAGAAAGAAAAAGAGAGAGAAATAGAGAAAGAAAGAAAAAAAGAAAGAGAGAAAAAGAGAAAGAAAGAGAGAGAAAGAAAGACAGAGAAAGAAAGAAAGACAGACAGAAAGAAAGAAAGGAATGGGGAGAAGGAGAAAGGCTAGAGAGGTTGTTTTGGTGAACAATGCACCTTTTCACGGGAAAATGAATATATATATATATTTTTCCCTAAAAATGGAGCTACCCACCAGGACTCACCGTCCAGAATCACCTTTTGGGAAGCTGGAAGGTCTCTTTTGTGCGTGAGCTTGACACCCACCTCCCTTCCAGCCAGGGCTGAGCACTCCCTAGGAAGAGCCAGGGCAGGGCAGTGGCAGCATTAACAGCAATATCAACCCTCTGATTATTAATAATAACAACCCAGCCACCTTTAATACGCCCAGGGGTTGAAAGGGGTTTTTTTCTGTTGTTGTTATTGTTGTTGTTGTTGTTGTTTTGGAGGGGTTGGGGTGGGGTTGAGGGGGAGGCAGCAGCTTCTCTAGGAAAATTGAGGTGAGGGGGGCTGGGGAAAGGGGTGGTGATGGGGTAAGGGGGGACAGCAAAACCTCCAAAAGAGAGAGAGGGGGGGGTTAGAATTAAGAAGTTATTTGATGTTTGTGTCCTACAGCTCCCGGAAGACGCAGTGGCAGACAAACTTACAGCCGGTACCAGACCCTGGAGTTAGAAAAGGAGTTCCTCTTCAACCCGTATTTGACACGGAAGCGGCGGATTGAGGTCTCTCACGCCCTGGGACTGACCGAGAGACAAGTGAAGATCTGGTTCCAGAACCGGAGGATGAAGTGGAAAAAAGAAAACAATAAAGATAAGCTGCCGGGGGCCAGGGACGAGGAGAAAACGGAAGAAGAAGGGAATGAAGAAGAGGAAAAAGAAGAGGAGGAAAAAGAAGAAAGCAAGGACTGAGTTCTCAGCCCCTTGAAGTCTCGTTTTATGGCAGATGATAAATCGAGATGTTTACGACGGTCATTTGCTTTTATAGAGTATAGAATGGAGAGGCTCACACAGCAGTAACTACCTGTCAAACAGTTGTAGCCTTTTTTATTGTCATAGAAACTTCCCCTACTTCTTTTTTTACCCCCTTTTCTTTCCCCCAGTCTTTCCTTCTTTTTTAATAGCTGCGTTTTTAGTTCAATAAATACATAGTTGGCTCGTCTGCGAGAGCAGGGGGAGAGAGAAAGAGAAAGAGAGAGAGAGAGAGAGGAGGAGGAAAAAATAGACAAAAAAATGAACTGATCCAGCAAAGCCAAACCACCCCAAGCCCTCCAGCCTGGGAGCAAATGTCACTGCTCGTCCCCTCCGCTCCCGCGGAGCTGCACACGCGGCTGGGTGCGGAATTTGTATTTATTGAAACAGCTTTGACTTTGCCTTTTTTTTTCCTTTTTTTTTTTTCCCCTTTTTATTTTTTTTTTTTTTAATTTTTCTTCCAGCTCCGCTTTTACCTCTCCCAAATGACCCCCCCCCGGGGGGAAAATGAGAGCTGGAGAGGGGGGAACATCTTCTTCTTCCAGTTTCCCCCTCCCTGTTTGTCTCTGTGCAGATCTCCCTTTCCCCCCCTCTCTCCTCGGAGGGGCCAGATAAGAAGAGGAGCTTTTTTTATTATTATTTTTTGGAGGGTGAGAATTACCTGGGAGCGCCCTCCAACTCCCCCCCCAGTGCCCCAAATCCTCCGACTCCCGTAGGATCGAGGCTTGGAGATACCTCGGAAGGCCAAAATATACCTTGATAGGCCAAAAATCCCCCCCCACCCATCATCACCACCTTCCCCTGGTTTTTGTAGGCGCTGTTTGCCCCCTTTGCCCGTGTGAGCACTCGAAATTCTTCACGTACTACCTAAAGGGAAAACCTGCAATAATTATCCAGCAGATCATCAGCGAGGGGCTGACTCACCCAGAAATTTCGCCCCAGAATTTATTTAAGAGAAGAGAAGAGAGAGAGAGAGCTGTGTTTTCGCCCTGATGCAAGCTACTAAGTAGCCAAAATAATAATAATAATAATAATAAAAATGAAACAATAATAATAATAATAATAATAAAAAAACCAACAACAACCTTGTATTGTACTTATCACTACCTATAGAAGGAGTCATGCTTTGGAAGTATTTGTAATGCGGTTTTATTGTCGTTTGTTGCTGCTTATTTTCTTGGAAATAATAATAATAAGAGTAATAAAAAAATAAAAAAAAATAATTAAAAAAAAAAATCCCAACAACTGAAACTGCCTAGTTGAGAACGCACAGTATTGTATTATTTTATTGTGCTTATAAAGTAGTGTAGAACTAAATTGCACTGAATGTATAGTTATCTATTTGTCTTGACTTATCTGTTAATGCAACATGCTCGAAACGAAAAAAAAAAAGAAAAAAAAAAGGAAAAAAAAAAACCAAACTCGTCATTTGTTTTATGTAAAAGCATAGTTCTGCGTGTTCAAACTCTGAATGTAGCAATTACAGCCAGGAAACTGAAAAAAAAAAAGAAAAAAAAAAGAAAAAAAAAGAGAAAATAAAGAAAAAATAAAATAAAAAAAAACCCCTCTTCTGGACACCGTGGATTTGTATTGTATACGTGAGACATTACGTAAATAATAATAATTATAATAACGATGATAAGAATAAGAATAAAAAAAATGGTTTTAAAAACGAACTGCGTTGCCTGCAGTGAGTGCCGTGTCTGTGTCTCGAAGCACCCGCGTCCCACGTCACCCGGAGTGGGCTCTGACCGAGACCTCACCCCTTCAGACCCTCTTTGGCACCTTCAGAACACCCGAGGATCGCCTCGATTTGGGGGGAAATCCCCAATTTTTGGCTCAAACCCCCCCAGCGGCGGAGGCGGCCGGGGCAGGGGGAGGATTCCCCCTCCTGAGCGGGGGCATTTCACAGATTTCACAACCCCCCCCCAAAAAAAAAACTCAAAATAAAACTCCTTAAACCCGGCAATGTCGCTGCTAACTGTCTGCCTGAAGCTGTAGGTCCGCCAAAAAAATGCGAATAAAATCAAATATTGCGACCATTCCGCCATTATCGAGTCTTTCTTGGCTTTTTTTTTATTTTTGGAGGGTTGGGAAATGGGGAATACGAGGTGCACGAAGGGTTTGTGCTGGGTTTTTGGCTTCTCCCAGTTGGGAAATGCCACTTGAAAGGCGTCGAAAGCTCTCCCGAGGTCCAGAAAAGCCTCTTGGGGGTGGCAGGAGAGGCGTTTTCCCAATTTTTGGGGTGCTGGCAGGGGATCCTTTGCGAGACCCTTTAGGTGTGTTCACCAAAAACCTGCCTGGGGGAAAGGACGGGAGGGGTGGGTGAGCACCGTGAAGGTTCGTGGGGGGCAACACATTCCCCCCGTGGGAAAAGAGCGAGGAGAACGCCTCAAAATTCGAGGGAGGTGGCGAGAAAGCGGAGTGTTTGCTCGGTTATTTATTTATTTGTTTGTTTGGCGACTTATTTATTTATTTACGTCTTTTTCCCCAGGCGAAAATTCCTTTTTTTTTTTAACTCTCCCCTCAGATTCCCACCTTTCCTCCCCGCGGACAGCGGTCCTAACGTAACACACCCTCTTATTTTCCTATTATTATTAATAATAATAATAATAATATGAATATTATTATTATTGCTATTTTTTACCATCGTTACAGGGGGTTCTATTTTATTCTATGTTCTCTCCGCTTCTCTTTCATTCCATTTGACCACATTTCGATCTCCTGGTGCTTTCAGATCTCCCTTCTGCTCCTCCAAAGGAGGGATAAACTCCTGAAATATTCCCCCCTTTCCTTGAACCGGGTCTATCGATCCCTAAAATCGGATTTATCTCCCTCTTCTTTCTGCTGATAAATGGACCCGAATCACCTCAGCTCGGGGATGCAGCGGGACTCGGGATGGGGTTTTTTTTTTTTGCAGGGAAAACTCCTCACCCACCGCTCCGGAGCCTCCTCCGTGGGTTTCAAACATCTTTAACCCCCCAAAAACCCCCGAGTTTAAAGGATTTAAAATGCCTCGGGGTGGGGAGGTGGGCTTGAAATCACTGGGTTCGGGGGGGGGGGGCACTGGGGAAGGGAAAGGAGTTAAAATAATTAAAAAAAAAATAATAAAATACAGGAGAAATAGCCAAGTTTTGCCCCGCGGGGAATCGGGACTCGGGTGGGCACCCGATTTTTTTTAGCCCCCTTTTTCAGCCCCGTTTTTGCAGCCCCTTCCTCTGAGACGGGGTTGGGAAAGGGGAAAAAACGAGCCCAAAAATGACATCGGAGTGGTCGCATCGGGCCGGGGGATGGGGCCGAGAGGCGGCGTGGGAGCAGCTCCCGTGGGTTCCCACTCGCGAAATGCCCCCAAAATCTCCACTCGGGGAGGTTTTCCTCGTGAAGCCGCGTTAATCTCCCCCGAAATCCACAAAACCTCAGCAATACGGTTTATTCCAGACTTTTCTAGGGCAGGCAGAGGAAGGTAGGCAGGTTTATTAGTCATAAACCAGCGGTTTATGCTTAAAAAAAAAAGCGTGTTTGTGGTTTGTTGTTTTTATTTTTCTTGGGGGATATTTATCCAGCGTTTACAACCAGGGATATTTTCTCCCTCTGCTTTGCCATCACCGGAGCGATTCTCGCTCGTCCATTCCGGAAAAAAAAAAAACAACCAGCAGAAATCGGTGAAAATAAAAATATTTGCTGTTACCTTACTTAAAAAAAATTAATATAAATATATATATATATGTATATAAAGCTTGGCATAGACAATATCCTCCCAGCGAAGGGGAGGGGAGGGAGGAGGAGGAGGAGAAAGAGAACTTATCAAAGTGTTTAAAAATAATAATAATAAAACCAGAAGAAGCTGCATCCGCACTCTATCCATCATATTTAAATCCACAAATCTAAGTAGTTTTTATCCCGACGAATCTCGCGGCGTGACATTTATCTCTCCGAAGAGTCCGGAGTTAAATTATCGAAACTACAGCCGCAGCAGTTCGTTTTGGGGGTAAATGTTTATGTTCGGTAGTCAACACGAGAGAGTCGCATCTTCAGATGACATCCAGTTATTTCTGTAATCACTCCATCATTTCAAGGGAGGGGGGAGAAAAAAAAAAAAAGAGAAGAGAAGAGACCATTTTATGGGGGAAAGTAATTTGAGGGAAGATTCGCTTCCTCGCAAAGTGGCTTATTCCGAAAATGATCATAGCTTCGGTATTACTGAAATTAGACTCATCTCCCCGCCTGAAGTAAAGAAATATCGTCCTATTCCGGGCTTTTTATTAGCCAATCAAATTTTCCTTTCCGATCTCCATTTGTGATTTGTGAAAAATATAATTCCCTCGAAAAGCTGAGTTCGAGCATATTGCTTATTTTCCCTTAATTTATTATTCTAATCACAGCCGCCGCCGCGCGATAATGCAGCCATTAGGCGACAAAATTCGTTTAGGTTTTATACTCCGAAATGGGGCGCCGGGTTCTATTTGAGAGACAACGAATTTCTCGGGCATTAAATTTTTTCTGGTTTATTTTCTTTTTTCTTTATTTTTTTTCGAGGCGAGGGGAGAGGGAGGGGGGAGGAAGATGCGCGGGGGCGGAGGTGGGGGAAACTTTGAGAGCTGGATTTGTTTTTCTTTTTTATTTAAAAAAAAAAAAGGTAATTCTGCCCCATTATTTGTTTTAGCTCGTCCTATTTTTTTTTCCCCTCTTCTCCCAGACTTACCCCCCTCAAATTCTCAGCTCTTTTATCCTCTCCCCACACGTCTCCTCCTCCCCAAAAATACCCTTTCTGATATCGGTTTTATAGAGGAGGGAGGGGAAAACGAGGGTTTCTGCAGCAAATTCTCGCCCAGGTTACTTGTTGTTTTTTTTTTTCTGCCTACCAGGATCAAAATTTCCTCTTCCCCATTATGGAATTTATTATCTTGTCTGCTGGCTGGAAAACGGGATCTCCATTGTGC